GGGAGATCGCGCACTACATCTCTATCTTCACCAGCTGTCCTCAGCTCTGCCTGCACAGCGCCAACCCGGGTTGGAGAGTCGGCTAGGTGTGCCAGCAGGTCCATGTCTCTCTCCAGACTCGAGCTTTCCCCATCTATGGTTCGACTAGGGTTATTGTGGTCGCGATATTGGGCTGCGCGCTCCGCAGTGACATCTCCTACGTCGGCATCATTAGTCGGTCCCTTTGCTGCCTGGCTACTGTTCTGGCTGTGCAGTTCGGTTCCTTCGCTGGCTCGACATTCTGCGAGTAGTGCATTTGTCAAGGCAGCAGCCTCTTTGCTAGTGGTTGTCGCTGCAGCCCGATCCAGGGTATCCCAAGCAAATTGCTGGGAACACGAGACAGCTGTGGCTGCACTGGCGTCCACGCTGGCATCATCGGTTCGAACTCTTCCCGTAGCATTGTCCTGCACCGTAGCCGTACCGGCCGTCTGGTTGTCGGTGGCCGTTGACAGCTCCGGCTGGGGTGGAGAAGGGATGGCGGAATTTTTACAGCGATCTTTCTTGGACGGAAGGCAGCTCCAGCATTTCCGTGCCGCCTTGGTGCAGTCACACCTGACGCAGGTGCCGCTGCCGTTGCACCGGCAGCACTGGCCACTCTGCATCAGGGTGAGTTGCGAACGGGGCACCAGAAAAGAAGCCAGATCCGAGTGAGAGCTCAAACTCCCATCCACCACTCAAACGGCTGCACAGGGACTACAATACCAGTATAGACATTTTGCACGTTTTACAGATGTACGAAGTTCAGTACTAGGGCGTAGGTGTGTACAGACCCGGTTGGGTCACAAATTGGGTGGCCATTGTGTGCCATGCATACGCATTTGACCAATTTTAGCCTCATAATTAATGGCAAACAATCCCTTTTCCAGCTTCTTCACTTTGGTTAGAACTAATGACTAGCTAGATCTTTGTCAGAAAAGGTTTTCGTTTGAAATGCCTTCAGGGCCCATTTCTTAGTGGAAATAGCAGAAAACACAATAGGGTCCTGCACAATCAACACCCATTAGGTTCTACGCGGTTTCACGCATCTGTACAACGCGCAAAAGGCTTATTGTACGAGTACTACTCCCTGGTGCGAACCCTTGCACAAGGCAACTTTCCTGCATTTATTGTACTTTCACCAGGCAGTCGTACAAGCATACACACTTTCTACGACTCCCGGTTGCTTTCACACGTTAGCCATGGCCCAAATTTGCTCAGCCTACATCGATATTTTGCCGCACAATTTTGCCACAAAATTTTCGATATTCTGCTAGGCATTTCCTTTCTCCGTCGGTATTTTGCTTTGGTTTTGCTCGAGATAAAATGAGTTTCAAGGAAAACTCAACGATAATTGTCGCTGATGGCGCCGGTATTTTTGATTGAGCTTCTGCTACCTTTCTACAAAAATGTAGCCACGAGTCTGCTTTGTCCAACTTTTGTGCTCATTTTCAACCTTGATTACTGATTGTGTTGGGAAAGTCCCTAAGAAGCCTTGGATTTTCCGAAAAGCCCACCAAAACTTAATATTTTGCTCAAAACTTGCCGGCAACTTGCGCATCCGATATTTTGCTCAAAGAATTGCTAGCAAATTTGGGCTAGGACTATCACACATCTCAGGCCCCTTGACAATTGCGTATGGTCAATGGTTACCTGTACGTTGCGTTAACAATGCGTACTGAAAATCAACAAATTTTGGCCGGTGAGAAACTTTGGCCGATCTCGAAATAAACCTTTGGCCGTCATTAAACTTTGGCCGATTGGGGTTTTTCGAAAAAGAAATCGATCGGTATTCATTTTATTGCTCCCACATGCGCCCATGGCTCATTTACGCATCATTTGCCTCCATGACAAACTTTGGCCTGCGATTTAATTTGGCGGTTGGTAGCGAGCGGCGAAATCGGCGAAATTAAATTGCCAGCGAAAATTTGTTGAAAAACATTCCCTTTTTAGTTCTTATGTGATTTTGCACTGGATGTTCTATGTACATAGTCTGTACAGGGCCTTGATTAAGGAATGGAGAAGCAAATAGCACCAATGAATTGTGTGAAAAAGAAGGGTTCGTGAAGAACAAGAATGCAAAAAGAGAGGAGTACGAAAATGGAAGGTTGTCCAAGTTTGGAAAAATATGGTACGGAGCGCAAAGACAGGTATGCATGTGGAATTCAAGGGAGTAGTACCAGTCACCATGGTCACATCGATGCCGGTATGCGACAGAGCAGAAAAGCGGCGTTCAGCATACGCATGTGTACAAACGAGCATCAGTGAAGAGAAGTTTGGCTATCTCTTAATTTGCTAAATCCTAAATATAGGATTTTGGTCATATTTTTAAACTCAAAATGGGTGTGGCATGAGAATAGCAAAAAGTATGTGACCAATTCTTCCTTGCTAGGTCTTAGTAGATATCGAGAGTTGAATAAGATAATTTTTTCAAACACTACCATCTCAGGCTCATCTCCTTGCCCAATATTACTAAGGCCTGTTCCCTATTTTTCGAATCCTATATATAGGATTTGAGATTTTCTTGGACCTTGTTTTATCCTTAAAACTGGTAGTTTCATGACGGAATGTGCGATATGTCGTCATGAAACCACCCCGTGCCACACCTGCAATGTTCTTCTGTACATTCACTGCTTCAGTCCTTTCCATGACAGCAGCTGAACAATTATGCTCAAATTTCCGATTATTGCTGAAAATGGGTATTCATCAGAAATATTATCGCCCTATGAATCTAAAATGTAAACATTCATGCCTCAAACATATTAATAACTTCCATGAAAACCATTATGTCGTTATTATTGGTCGTGATGACCAATAACAACGGCATAAAAGGCACACATTTTCAAATCCTATATATAGGATTTTCGGCCAGCAAATTAAGAGATAGAGAATCAAAACCTGGCATCGACCAGGAGAGCAAGAACGCTGTTGCATGAGCTAAGTGTACACTCTGAGACCCCTTCCGTGCTGTTGCTGCCAATAATCGAGCGTGTGCAGACGCTGTCACCATCTTGTTCGATCGTAGCCCTCTGTGATCGATGTGTTCATGGGCATGCACTGCTGCCCATACTGCCCCGGCCCTGCTATCAACGCGGCTATTGGCTCCTAATACTCGCCTGATGCTGGTGGTCCCTGTCGTTACTCCACCACACTCTGTTTTACGTATTCCTTTTCACTCTCACCTTTCTATTTGCGGTATTAATATGCATTATAAATGCGTCATTCATGTTTTTTTCTGCCGACAACGTCGGCAGGCCTTCCAGCCTCTGGGGAATCCAGAGATAATTAAATTGCAAATTTAGAAACAAAACATGAGAACGAGTTACGCAGCAACTATCCACGACTGTCACAAGATGGCAAACAGGCAGTGGATAGTTGCTGCATAACTCGTTCTCGTGTGTTTTCTTCTCTCTTCTACATTTATTACTGGCTCAGTTAGCCCTTTCCCAAAGGTGCTCTTTATTTCGCACTTAGTGCTTTTCGCGTCCCTCAAAATATGCTGAAAAGTGCTCTTTTCTCAGTGAAAACAGGCAAAAAGTGCTCTTTTTTCAGTGAAAACAGGCAAAAAGTGCTCTGTTTTCAGTGAAGCGTAGCCATGCTACATGTTCAGATATGAAACCAAGCTGAGAAATGAATACGCACTCTGCCAATTATGGGTCCACGAAAGGCAAAACAGGAAGTAAAGTTCAAAAAACCCACTTTTTACAGCATTGTGTACAACGGGTACAAGTTTCACCAACTAATTGCTTGTTGCCCCCGGCCTCCTCCCCCCCCCCCCAAAGGCGGCGTGCCAAGGCCCATGGAACATTCGGAAACTGCGATCGCATGCATGAGCAAACAGATTTTAGCACTTTTTCAGCTAAAAAAGCTCAAAAAGGGTGATATTCACCAAAAACGCAATAAAGGACGAAAGAAACGGGCTTTTCCAAAAAGGGCGAGCACCTTTGGGAAAGAGCTAGGCTCAGTATCCAAGTTACAATTACAAATTGCAGCATTTTGTGAGGATGCCCACGTCCCCTGCTGGGAGAAAAAAAGCGGGAGGAGGCGCTAGATTAAGCCAGATTCGAACCACGGACCTGAAGACCACTCTATAATCTCTGTGACATGTCAACTAGAAGACAACCAATACAGCAAGGAGTTTTACAATTACTAACCTACATTGTTCACTTCCCTCCATGATTCACTATTTTGTTATTGGGCATCTCTGCTTGTTTGCTCCTGCGAATTACTGAAAAAATACTGTAAGTCTATAGATGTTCGGCGCATATTTATTTCCGGCGATTTTTGGCCTGGTCATGTTTGGCCGAAAATGTTGATGCGGCCGAAATTTTGATTTGCCAGGTTCAGTGTGAGAGTGTAGACAGGCGGCAGCAGCACAGGACTGAAATCTGATGAGGCCGAAATACCGGTAGATTTTAGCCCTGGCAGGCCGAAATTTGAATGGGCCGAAAATTTGTGGACATACAGGGTTGAACAAACCATCAAAAATCCTGGATATTCTAGTATTCTACATATGCGAGTGCCGGCATACGACACTGACTCGTTTCTCTCTCTCTCTCTGTCTCTATCTCGCTGCCTCTCTCTCTCTCTCTCTCTCTCTCTCTCTCTCTCTCTCTATCTATCTATTTCTTCTTTCTATCTTTTTGGGTTTGCGTGTCTAACCTCACTGTACAGATTCACATGACCGGACCAAAGATAGCTACACACGGCCAAGATGGCCTGCTCAAAGTGGTGCAGTTCAGAGGCAGGGAAAGAATGTTCAGAATGACCAATGTGCCAAGTTTGTGTACTGGGACAGTAACAGTACCTCTTGGGTTGAGACGTGTCCAGCTGGCAGGTATTCTGCTGCTGGTGTTGTTGGTGCTGCTTCTTTGAGTAAGTGTCTGGAGTGCTCAGAGGTGTGTGCTACCTGCTCTGATCTAAGAGTTTGCACGTCTTGCAGTCCAAACTTCATCCTTCAAAACGGAGGCTGCTACAGGAGCTGTATGACTGAATATGTAGAGCTACAGCGAAACAAGGGTCCCAGGGCAAGTGTTCGACTCAGCGCCAGTGCTTCAGAGAATCTGCATTCGGTGTCCGTCCAACACGGTCGACTAGAAGTGCGCGATGTGGACGGCCACTGGGGAACTGTGTGTAACAAGAGCTTTTCTCGGCAGTCAGCTAATGTCGTGTGCAGGCAGCTGGGTCTGGGAATCGCCGCGGCCATTACAAGCGGCACGTACCCGATTGTTGGCCACGGGGCACCCATTAATCTTGCCGGTGTCAATTGCACTGGGAACGAGAGTTCCATACTAGAATGTCCAGCACAGCATCGCAATGCTGTGTTCTGCAGTCATGTTGAAGACGTTGAAATCAAGTGTTCCGGGCCGAATACTACCAGAGAGTGCCTATCGCTGCCTTGTCCACGCGGATTCTATCCAACACTGGATGGGAGCAAGAATGCTACCGCTTGTGATGAGTGCGATAGCATGTGTATTGCATGCACCGGTCAGGCGCGAAACTGCTCCGAGTGCCCGTTTGGAAGATTCCTCCAGCAAATAGGAGGCACAGGCTTCACGTGCACCAGTGAATGCAGACATGGTTTCTATGGCGACGCGCTCAGCAAGCAATGCGTTCAATGCGACAAGCTGTGTAGTAGGTGTGCACAATTTCAGGGCGTCACCATGTGCATCGAATGCCAGCCAGGAGCGAACCGTCTGGGCACAGCGTGCGTGGCAAATTGCCCGAGCCGCATGCATGCCAACACTCTGACGAGAACGTGTGATCCGTGTGCGCCGCAGTGTGGAACATGCTCCGACGGGCGCAAGAACGACAACTGCACAAGTTGCACGCATCCCATGGTGCTGAGCGGCTCATCGTGTGCTCAGGACTGTTCACCTCCGCTGCTGCCATGGCTTGGCGTCTGCTCAGCACCGTGTGCGAACGGATCTTACTTGGACGGCGTCAGTGGCAGCTGCAAGAAATGTCCAGGCGCGTGCGTGCAGTGCACAGACGCAACCCACTGCACATTGTGCGACTTCACCACTCTGGAAGAAAACGGGCAGTGCGTCACGCACTGTTCTCCCGGTCTAGTCGCTGAAGATGTTGTTCCGTACAATCCATTTGTTCGTCTGCTTGGCAGTAACTCATCCGGTACGGGTAGAATCGAAGTTCTCTATGACGGCCGGTGGGGAACTGTGTGTGATGAAGAGTGGGGCCTTCCAGAGGCTATGGTCACCTGTCGTGGACTTGGCTTTAGCGGTGTTAGACAGGTAAGATTTCCTTATGGCAAGGCAGAAATGCTCAAGCCGGTGAGCTCAGGATTTCACATTTGGTTGTCTGCTGTCAACTGTCAAGGCAACGAGACATCTGTATTGAATTGTGAGCACGGTGGATGGGGACAGCACTATTGTCGCCATGATGAGGATGTGGCAATCGAGTGTGGCGATGCGACGGTAAGGCGTTGCATCAGCCAATGTCCCCATGGTCACTATGGGTCTCCATTGACCGGATGCAATCGATGTGCTGCTTACTGCCAAACATGCCATTCTACGCCATCGAACTGCACCGACTGCTACCAGGGATACTACCGGCTGAACTCTAAGTGTTTGGGGAACTGTCCGGACGGGTACTTTGCCGACAGTGTCAACAACGTCTGCACACCGTGTAGCAGTGAATGTGCATGGTGCTCTGGCGCTAGTACTAATTGCACCGGTTGTGGCCTAGGCAAGTACCTGCAGAATAACACCTGTGTGTCAAAGTGCGGCAATCAGTTTGAATTGGATTTCCGAAGTTCGGTGCGTCTGGAAAACGGCAGTAGAACGGTAGAGGGTGATGTCGTGCTGTCTTTCCGTGGAAACTGGGGGTTAATGTGTGATTTCCAGTGGGATATACGGGATGGAAACGTGATCTGTCGGCAATTGAACTATGGCAAGGCGTTCCGAGTGTTTCAGAAAGGCCAATTCACTCGCCGTGCTACACAGCCCTTCGTGGTCAGCGGGGCAAGGTGCACAGGAAATGAGTCACGCATACAGGACTGCGTTACGCAGGGCTCTTCTTGCCGCGCAACCAGAATAGCCGGTGTGCAATGCACAGGACCAGATATGTCGCGTCGCTGCGTAGACCGGTGCCCTATTGGCCATTACGGTGCTGCGGACGGTACGTGTCGACAATGCGACCTCAGCTGTGCGTATTGCGCTCAAGACACACCGGCAGTATGCACTAGCTGTCATCAAGGATTCCTTCTTGAGGTAAGCAGGCTGTATAAGTGCAACGTTTTGTTTGCAATTAACTTTCGCTGTATTCGTTAGGGGGCACGAAATAACTAAACTTTGTACTAACCTAAAGTGACCCCTTCTGAACGTTCCGGGTGACAGACCTCAACTAAAAACGAAATTTAGTACGCAACGAACCTGCTGCTGGAGCGATCTAACAAAAGATTACCTGAACGAAAATTTGTACTTTTACCCTCAAACCAGTTGATATTAATTTTTGCAGTAGTACATGTCATTTTCGGTGTAATTTTAATCTCGGTGCTTTCGGTGGAGAAACCAGGCGCCTAAACTTAAATTACACCTAAAAGGCACTAGAGTACGCACTGTAGGTGAACGGAACGCTGGTCACCTGATTCTAGATTACACCTGAAACCTGGCAGGTCCCTGGCACCGAAATTTTAATGCACCTAAAATTTCATGTTTAACAGTGGTCATCTAGAGTACTACTTGGTTAAAAAAAGTATAATATTGGCAACACACATGACGGGTTTACGTGGCTCTAGTAAAAAAAAACCAGGACTCGAACCCGGGATCCTGCTTGTCATGAGGAATGCTTTTAGCCATCTGAGCTGTGGGACCATGCCGGACGTAGAAGGCGCTGGCACATTTTCGCTCCATAAGCCGAGCTCGCAACACATGCCACGCATAACGTTACCGTGGTTGGTCTGCTGGTAGAATGAAAATATCCAAGCGCTTGGATCTTTTTTCTTCCTCCAGGAGACCAACCACGGTCAGTTTCTGGAACGTATTACCAGAGGTGAAAGAATATTGATGCATTTTTAAATGATTTGGAGAACTTCAAATGTCAACGGATCAGTCGGGAAGTGAACTGCCTGAAAAGAGAAAAAAATGTCAGACGCACCAGGACTCGAACCCGGGACCTTGCTTGTCATGATCATGAGCATGAGCATGTTTTTGAAATTTGAAGTTCTCCCAATCCTTTAAGCTGAACAGAAGTTGAGGCTTGTAAAATTTTCATATTGAATGCAACTCTGTCCCGAGTTAGTTGGCACACACTCCGTCGACATGGGCTTGTACCAGTATGTGCATGTAATGCCTTGTATTAGTTTGGGGGAAAGAGACAAATGCCTTGTATGTACATGTAATGCTTTGTATGTACATGTACAATGTTTGTACGATCTTGAATTTACCATACATCACACCACCTGGTCACCCCATGCTCTGGGAATAGTAGTCTTGGCCTCTATTTGAGAGGGGCTTGTATTTTTTAAACGACCGTCGTAGAGAGAGAGAGAGAGGGAGAGAGAGACAGAGAGACAGAGAGAGAGAGAGAGAGAGAGAGGGGATTATTTAAGACGTGCATTTTTGGGGAAAGGGGCTTCTATCCGCTTTAGGAGCTGCCTCTGTGCGTTAGGGCCTGGTCAGACCGTGGCAAATTTTTGGTGCCTGACGAAAAAAGAAAATCATTCAAGATTAGAATCGTGATCACACTGCACATGTGGGAGAATGAAAATTCAAAAGTCATTTGGACCGTCAAGTGGTAATCTCCACGAACAACGTCAAATTCCTTCACCTCAGTAGTCGCGAACACCTTCAGCGCAATCCTTGCAACCATCCTTATGAGTTTTGTTGTTGTTCGTGGCCAATTAGATCCTCGATATCAACATGAAAAATCAATGAATATCAGCGGCTAAGGCGTATCAGCGTCAAACTTCTGTTTGGAGCGGAAAAGCGTTGTTTGTTCTTTCTTTTTTGGAGCGTCAACCCATGATTTTGCCGCTCTGGCGTCAAGTGTCTATGAAGATTCGGATTATAATCACAGGATTATTTCGTTTTGACGCAGTCTGACGGGCCCCTTAGATCATTGCAGGGTGGTGGGGCGCATATGGATGCTGAAAACACAGTCCAAGGGTGCGTTCATTTTGCTTCCCACGGGTTTCGGGGAGCTCCACAGACATTCTTCGAGACGTTCGTACCAGGTCCACGAAAAACTCGATTCTCCATGAACCTCCAAAGCCTCCACTGAGTGAAGAGATACTTCAAAGCTGGGGAAGTTCGTGGAGATCAGATAAATATTGCGAGAAGTCATGTTTGTGACATTCCGGAATGGCGGGAAGCAATTCTGCTCAATCGAAAAACATCAATATTCAACTGTGATTCTTGTCCTGTTGAAGTTGTTTGCTTCTTTGCTTGCACTTGAATGAAGTTTCTCCATCACACTATCGAACTTCTTCCAGTGAATCCTGGCCTGTCGACTATCCCACGGCAAGTGTGGCTCTAGTAAAAATAATAAAAAAAGTTGCCAGTTGGCCCACTCTTCTAAAGTCCTCTGCTACACGTACCTGAGCAATGACAACAGCACAACATAATTTGCACTGTTGTTCTTTTCTTTTCACAATCACCTGAAATATTCCCACGCCAGTCGCCATGGTTACTCGTGCACGTGATCAATTTCTATGCATGCTCCATACGTTCGCTAGTGGGCAGTTTGATTGTGACCGCCTCCACTGTACTCTTCTCTGTGGAGTTCACTGAAACATGTGGACCCAAAACGAACGCACCCTAACAGAGTCTCAAGCGAACCATGAATTTCTTCTCCTACTCAAGTGCACATGTACCATATTTTCCAGGCTATAAACCGAACTGGAGTCCCAGATTTTTGCCACGAAATAATACATCTACTCTTTGTAGCACCGTTCATTTCACCATCTAAGGTTCACTGGCTTTCAGCATGAATTACGAGGGTTTAAAGTGCGGCAGTATTATAAATGAAACGGCTACAGGGACGCTAGCCACCAGGTAGAAAGCAAGACTTGTTTTGCATGACTTGTTTTGTTCTCTTTGCCCAACCAGGAGGGCAGGTGCAAGTTAGCCTGCAGCTCAAACTACCACATTCTCGATGGAGCTTGCCGGCTCTGTCATCCGTCGTGCTTGCGTTGCAGCGGCCCGAACAAGACAGACTGCACACACTGCAACCAAGGTATGATATGATAGCATAGCTCTACGGCCGCGTTCCTGCAGTGTGTATTGTATTGACCTTTTGAGACTCATATAGAAGCCTTTTTGAATACGAGCCTGATGAAGCCCCAAGGGCGAAAATTTGGAGATTTCATTTCTTTTGAATAGAATTTGCAGCGTCAACACCCTTGATGTGGTGATGGTGACTGAGTGTGATATGAATTGGCTGCAGTGGAGCCTCCGTGTTCTAAAAAACGTTTTTGAACACGAGCCTGATTTTTAAGATGCGTAGTCAGCACATGGGACTGTTTTGCCGACGGTTTTTGTTGACATACTCAGACATGCCTGTTTTGAGTGGTACAAGCCTGATGTTAATGCCAGTCCTGGCATCAACTTCTACAGGAATAAGAACGGCGTTTGTACACAATATTACGGTATGTGCAAGCCTGCTATTCAGCAGAGGTTGCCGCAACAACCCGTGACTCGTGCCAGCATCCTAGCTGTAGAAGTATGCCTGGTTGACTAATATCAGGGGCATTGTGCACCATGTGAGAGAAGTCTTACTGGATTCAAGACGTCACACTTGCAGAGTTTTGATGCCGCAAAACATGACATGGCCATTTCATCACTTTCCGGAGAACGGACAAAAGAATTTATTTTTATAAGTGTTGTTTGTATCTAATCCATCATTCGAGTCTGCACTAGGTTTGAATTGGTTCTAGTCCGAATTTTGAATGTGCCAGGTTGCCTGGAGATGCCTCTAGATATTAGATATCCCTAGGTAAAAAAACGCTAACGTGAACGCAAACCTTTCCGTACTTCAGATCATTCAAGCTGACTTTTTCCCTTAGCACAATGTACGTTATAGTTCAGACGAAGTAGTCGTGACAACCATGGCGATATGAATTTTCGTGGAAACTCAAATTTTTTAACCAGGGATTAGTTTGCTGTCATTCCGAAAGAATACCTTGGCGAGGTCTTTTACTCTGGAATAGCAGACGCACGGCGAAAATGAGTTTTCGCTGTTCCCAGGTCCTTGGAAACCCTTTCACAAAGGCAGCACCGAAGACTGTAAGGGTTCTCCAGTTCCAGCATGTCTGGGAGAGGCCGATGGATTTCTTCCTCAGGAGTGCCGTGGCCCGTGGAACTGGTCCTTTGTTTCCCAGATGGGATAGAGGGTGAAAGGCACGAAGCAGAGGACGCAGACATTGTCAACCGAAAGGCAAATCTCGCCAAAAAAATTAAATGTCTCAAGAGGAAGCAATCTCGACTCTCATCTCGATCTGCACGTGCTTTTTATCTCCCGCCAGTTGCAAAACAATATGAGTTTTGCATTTTTTTGCAGAATTGCCATAATGAACGTCGGCCCGTTATTTTGAGCTCTGTAACGTTTTTCCGTTATCCGATAACGTCTTTTGTCACGGCTGTGAGTGAGTACCGTAAAAGTTAGCGTTATCGTACTTTTGCTAAGGATGTCTATTGTCCTGACACTGAGCTGGTAGTCTCCCTTCCTCAAATTTGGCATTTCTCGCATTTCGCACTCCTGGATTGGGATGAACGTTTTGTCCAACGCTCGATCGCAGTCAGAGAATCTCCCTAGGTGCCCTCCTCAGTTCCAGCCGAAACAGTGAACACGAGCGCTGTCCCAGAGGCATAATTATTGTGCCACAAAGGCGCTCTTTTCTTATACATTTCGTGTACTACGCATCATTTCCTCCACCCCGCTATCCTCCACTCAGTATGGGTCCCTGCAGTGTAACAACGCAAGCCACCTCAGTGACCCCAGCCGTCCCACCCATGCCCTTATAGAGTAGTAAAGAAATCCAGCATGTACTCTCCTTATTATGGTGTCAATATCTGTATGCGATTTCTTACCATTCCATTTATGGATGTGTTTGTCCGTTTTTGATATTGCTTTAGGAGATTACTTCTCGAATGGTCAGTGCACTACATCATGCAATGGTTACACAGCAGTTTCGCCGTACAGTGCAGGATCAACAGTAGATATCCGACTTGCCGGCGGCACAAACACGTCCGGGCGCGTTGAGGTCTTGAACTTGCTGACCGGGCAGTGGGGTACGGTGTGTGACGACGGCTGGTCTTTGGCATCTGCTCACGTGGCGTGCCGTCTGCTGGGCCTGGGTCCTGCCATCGCTAGTATCAACGAGCTTAACCGGACAACCGACGCCCACACGGCATACTTTCCTCTCGTCAGCAATGTGTCCGTTCCCATCCTGCTGGGGAGCGTGGACTGCGAGGGTACTGAATCAACACTCTACGAGTGTGCTAACGACAGTCCGGCCTCGTACTGCGTCCACAAGGAGGATGCCGGCGTTATCTGTGATCTGCCTCCAAGCCCCGTGTGTCACGAGACGTGCGATGCTTCACAGGGATATCGTGTTGTGGATGCTAACACCAGTACATGCGAGAAGTGCAGTGATGTTTGCAAGGGCTGTAGCACCGACAATGCCACGGTTTGCGACGCGTGCTTCTCAGGACAATATCTGACAGCTGATGGCGGATGTGTGCTGAGCTGCGGGCATGGGTACTTCGCCAACATCACGCAAGCAAGCTGTGAGAGGTGCAACTCGAAGTGTGTGGGATGTTACGACGGTACACGAGATGACAACTGCATTCGCTGCGCTAAGGGATTTGTCCTGGACGGCACACGGTGTGTATCGACATGCCCCTCCGGTCAGCTTGCCATGCACATGGAGGTGTGCACTGCAGTCAGTGCTGTAGCATGTGATGCCAGTGGAACATGCGACGAGCAAGCAGGCTGTTTCAATACCAGCAGTGTGGCAGGCGTCAAGTCAGCCTGTTGGCCATGCCCTGCTGGCTCAGTGGGAGATGGAAAAGACTGTAGAGGTAAGAGTTCACATCCATGTTATGAGTCTGCATGATCAGCAGTATCTATCGAGCCGGTTCTACTGTAGGCACATGCCCTGCCCCTAAAAAGGGGCATTATTGATAATGCCCCATTTTTTCCATTAATTGTCCACGCGCTCGGTTTTTAGATAAAGTAATTTAGTGAGGTTGTATGTGATAGATGGGGTAAGACCCCACAATGGCACCCGTTATTCGAATACAAAATGATTGCTCTCGGAGTCTTCACGAACTCCTTTGTTCAATCTGGGCGTCTTCGTAAACTCCTTTGTCAATTCTATGGGTATGCAATGAATTCCTTTGTCCATTCTATGGGCAAACTGTACACATTAATCTGCTTTGTTTAATATGGGTTTGGCGCTGCGTCAATCGTCCAACTTCGTTTAGTTGTTGGTGTTGTTCTTTTATTTATAGTCGTTCAACCAAACAGGCAATGGTGCCTTCTCACAAGGAGACGACTTAGAAGAGGAGAGGGCAGAAAGAGAATGGGGAGGGGAGAAAAATAACAGGCACGGAAGGGAGATAGAATGGAGAGGATAATGTAGTATAGATTAAGAAGCAGGAGTATGATCCAGATCTTTGGCACAGTACAAAAAGCGGTTTAAGCAACTGGGAGAATAAGCAGGTCTTGCGAGCGCAATGCATCACGCAACCGCTTCTTCTCTCCAATGGATCGAAGTTCGGCCGAGAGACTGTTCCACAATACGCTTCCCACACACTGGACTGACGATCGGCTATAAGGGCTTCTGAGGAAGGGTATTTGCAGGAGATTGGAGGAATGACCACGAATTACGCGACTGATAGGCGGGCATGCAGCATTGATTAGAATAAAGAAATTGTCAAAAAGGGGACTTGTAGCAGACTGGATACAGCGATGGACGAATACTAATAGTTTTAGCCTATATATAATGTGGACAAGAGGAAGGATGCGCGTCTGTGCAAGCAAAGGAGCGATACAGGTAGCAATTGGTGCCAGCAAAATAGACCGGACCCCTGCCTTGGCCATATGCTCCAGACGACCAAGTGCATGCTGAGAAAGAGCTGGGTAGAAGGCATTGCTGGCATAGCAGAGTGTGGACTGAATCATGCCAATGTACCAGGTGCGGCGGGCATTCACTGTCAAGCCATGTCCATGCCGCCATAGCTTACCGATTGCTTGTCCGGCTTTCTGCGCGAGGTGATCGACATGTACATCCCAAGACGTGTTGTCATCCACGTGAGCTCCAAGGTAGTACTTCACACAATGTACAACTTGTAGAACGTCCTGACAACACTGTACTGGTTGGTGGATGTCTTGCAGACCACGGGGCTTTATGAACATAACTTGTGTCTTCTTGGTGTTAAAAAGTAGACCTAGATCACCCAACCAGGCAGAACACTAGTTTAGTGTGGTCTAGATGTAAACAAGTACCGGTAGTACTCTTGGCAATGGTCACCCCCTGAATGCAGAGACACCGTATTTCAGGAGTATAAGCCACACTTAAGACTGCAGTAATTCACCCTAAAAAAAGGCGCTGCCGAGGGCCCTCTTGATTGGCGTGAGTTGCCAGTATCGGATCGGATGCAAGCCAGATGTGGATTGATCGAAGAAGGATAGATTCACCATCATTGTGGATAAGAGTCATACTGTAGCTCAGTTGGTTAGAGCATTGCTCGTGAATAGCAAGGTCCCTGGTTCAAGTCCCGGTGGTGTGACTGATGATTTTTTCTTTCTTTCATATCTGGCTTGCAAGTGCTGAGTTTCGGAGAGAAAAGAGCAGTCAGTACGTGGCATGTGGCCTCTAGTTTCCTAATACTTTGAAATTCTCCGTGAAGTCCAAAATTGAAATTATTATTATTATTTAAATAGGCGTCGAGGCGACAATAGTTTTAGAATTGCGATCAACAGAACGAGCTGAACCGACATTTTCACAAAGGCTTTTATTGTATTCAAAAAACGAGTGTATACGAAGGCAGTGAAGAACATGGACGAAAGAAAAAAATGTGATATGGAAGAAATGATGAACAAAAAATTGTACTTCGAACTAGTTTTCGCACAACACTCCTCAGGAAACTACGTTGTACTAATGAAAAACAATCCAGAAAGATACTAATAAAGAGAAATGGAGTGAGAAGAAACAACACCTATGAAAATGATAATCCTAGCACTAAGGTAATAACAGGAAAAAGTGCGAAAGCACTTAACGAACTTGTAAGGACTACTAGTATACTGTGACACAAGATATGACACCATGGCCAACCAGAGCCAAACAGACAGAACAAGTTGCTACTAAAACAATTTCAAACGAATAATGCTGTCCTTCTGGACACACAGATTAGGCTTATGAATACGTTGACAAACGGCTTCTAACACACTCAACTGCAACTTATAACCATGACGAGCACGGCACAAAACAGAAAAAGAAGAATCAGAATAAACCTTACAGCAATCAGGACGAGATGCAAGGTGCTTATACACTGATGACTTCCTACTAGAAAACACACGCTCGCACCCACTCTCACCGGAATTATTATTATTATTATTATTATCACCAGGAGTACAAAACCCATTTTAGGAAACTTCACTTCTCAACTCCAACCTCCAAAACCGGTCTCTTCACTGCGATTCAAATTCAAATTTACATTACACCAAATGTTCAGGCCTGGCCCATCATCAGAGTAATGAATGCGTAAAATAAATTTGAATTTGAATCGCAGTGAAGAGACCGTGTTTGGAGTTTGGAGTCGAGAAGCGAAGTTTTTCCTAAATGTGTAAAAAGTGGCTGCGTAGGAGTTTGCGGACAATAGGGACCTTTCGCATTTGCTACAAATTGAATGCGAAACGAAAGTTTGATTCGGCTCGTAATCGTTTCGTTGAAAACAGATTCAGGTTTCGCAAGTTGTCATGCAAATTTTCATGGCAGCTACGAATACGGCCGGTAGCTTGGCGTACGTACGGGTGTTTACATGCACACGTGCATGGGCCATGGTCCATTCATGGAATCAAGGGAAAAATGTGTACCTGGCAAAACATGTGTACTTGGCCAAATAGATGTGTACCTGACGGATTCGGAGCACGCCACGAATCCATACGTGAAAACGAGCTCTCCGCAGGGACTCTGACGAATCCTCGAACCCAGGCGACGGATCAGCATTCGTTTCGTATCCGTACGTGTTGTGCGAAAGGTCCCTAATTAGAAAGATTTAAAACCCAGAGGGGTTATGAACTCTTGTTATCACCAAGAGTTAATGAAATCCAGAGTGCGTGCAGCTCGGATGGGCTCCTGTAACGGCGAAATCCGGGATTACATCATTATAGTTGTGTAGTGTGTGCAAGCAGGATTCAAGCAGGTCTGCTGCTTCACAACTGCAGCTCAGTGGTACGCCGTAAACCACCTCCCGCCGCATTTTCTTATTTATTTTTTTATTTACTAAAAGCCATGCGGTGCACGCAATGGGAACATGCAGCAGCCATGGTGGTGGGGGCCAGCATAGTGGCACCAACTATAATGCGGAGTTTTGGCATGAGAGACATCCATGCAGAAACTGTCAGAAGCTTCACACTCTTGGTTTCATGAATTCTTGCCAACACCTTTCACAAATTCCTATTTCTCCTTGTTGTTTCTTGCTGTGTAGTATACTCTGTTGAGCCTCACACGCTACTCACGACACCACGTGATCAAACAGCCGTGATTGGGCAGATCGGTGTGGAGCTGCCATGCCATGCTAACACATCTACAATCATCAACTGGTATGTGTTTGTCCACTGGGCCTTCCTAGAGTAAGATCGGGCACCGAAAACCGCTTGTACAGGAAATGCAGCAATGGGACGTATGCATCCATGTCCCGCCGTTACGTTTTGCGGGACAAGTCCACTACAACCTTACACATTGTGATACCAGCTCTGCATAAAAGGTCATGAACTTTGTGAGGTCATACTCATCAATGTACTGTAACGGGTTGTACCTACCAAATATGGGGTAACTTGCCCCGCAAAAAGGTGACGGCCGTCTTAGATGCATACCTCCCATTGATGACCAATCCAAGCCAAGTGTTCGGATTTAAGAACAGATCAAGAGCACACACTACATGCATGTGCATGTTCTACATGTTCTGCATTATGTGTTCCCAATCAAAATGTTTTATATCGCCATCAATATCCTGTTTGGCTGTTGTCGCTTCGGCTTATGCGAAAGCGATACATGCTGTGTATATCTACATTGCATTGATGGCAATGCGGAGAAGCTTCTAATAATAATAATAATAATCTTCACTAGTTTGAGGGAAAGAGACAAACGGGTAAAGTCTGAAGAAAAAATTGACTGTCACCACCAGGACTCGAACCAGGGACCCTCGCTTGTAGCCAGCGATGCTCTAACCACTGAGCTATGGTGTAGTCGTCATCCCAGCAGAGACTGTTCAACATTTTCCTCAGACTTCGTAACTCACACTTCCTGTGATAATACTAATGTGACCTGTTATCCGTAGTTTGTGTCCAAGGATGCGTTTGATTGGTACGATCTAGAGCAGGATTCACCAGAACAGCGTTTGGTTGGTACAACCTAGAACAGGATTCACCAGAACAGCGCGTTTGGTTGGTACGATCTAGAACAGGATCGAACAGCTGGTGCACATGGAGCAGCCTCATGCCAACCAAACGGTACTCCAGAAAACGAGCGCATTTTTGTGAACAATATGCCAAACTGGGTGCAATCTTCAAAATGTGTATGGGTTACCATGGTCACTGTGGAGGGTACAACCAGTCCAACCCAAAAGCGTATGAACGTGATCATTTGGCACCAAAATCGATGTTCCCACCAGGTTTCACTGTGAAAAAGTAAAACTGCTCGGTCTGCTCCGGCCTCCAGGCCGGAGCAAGCAGAACATGTTCTGCCCGACCCAGAACAGGTGCAGTCCCAACCAAACGCGCTGTTCTGGTGAATCCTGTTCTAGGTTGTACCAACCAAACGCGCTGTTCTGGTGAATCCTGTTCTAGGTTGTACCAACCAAACGCGCTGTTCTGGTGAATCCTGTTCTAGGTTGTACCAACCAAACGCACTGTTCTGGTGAATCCTGTTCTAGGTTATACCAACCAAACGCGCTGTTCTGGTGAATCCTGTTCTAGGTTGTACCAACCAAACGCGCTGTTCTGGTGAATCCTGTTCTAAGTTGTACCAACCAAACGCACTGTTCTGGTGAATCCTGTTCTAGGTTGTACCAACCAAACGCGCTGTTCTGGTGAATCCTGTTCTAGGTTGTACCAACCAAACACGCGGTTCTGGTGAATCCTGTTCTAGGTTATCCCAACCAAACGCGCTGTTCTGGTGAATCCTGTTCTAGGTTGTACCAACCAAACGCGCTGTTCTGGTGAATCCTGTTCTAGGTTGTACCAACCAAACGCACTGTTCTGGTGAATCCTGTTCTAGGTTATACCAACCAAACGCGCTGTTCTGGTGAATCCTGTTCTAGGTTGTACCAACCAAATGCACTGTTCTGGTGAATCCTGTTCTAGGTTATACCAACCAAACGCGCTGTTCTGGTGAATCCTGTTCTAGGTTGTACCAACCAAACGCGCTGTTCTGGTGAATCCTGTACTAGGTTGTACCAACCAAACGCGCTGTTCTGGTGAATCCTGTTCTAGGTTGTACCAACCAAACGCGCTGTTCTGGTGAATCCTGTTCTAGGTTGTACCAACCAAACGCACTGTTCTGGTGAATCCTGTTCTAGGTTGTACCAACCAAACGCACCCCAACACTAACAGTTTTAAGCAAGATGTTGTGTAGTCAGAAGGTGTAACACTAAACAGCTAGCACAACACTGACTGATGTGATGCTGACATTCAACAACATGATCATATGCTCTATCACGCCTTGGATGCACAAACCAACACAAACTACAAACTACGGATAAAATGTAGCATTATGATCCTTTCTTTTAAATTTCATGCTTGGTTCTCCATAAGAGTCTTATATATCTATACGCATGTCGATTCACCTTGCCCTATTGAGTGCGGTTACTGTGAACCGCCCAAGGTTTGCGTCACTAAAGTTTTGCGGTCTCTCAGAGCTAGCCAGTTTGCGATTGCAAACGTTCGCGGAGCACTATTGTTACACATACATACTCACGGTTGAAGTTTGATTCCACGATGGTTAATATTTGCGTTCTGCTCTTCTCACAAAATTACCAAACATTGATACGTCACAAACATTAGGCAGGTTACAGTACAGTACAGGACATAATTGTTGTTGGTGTGTATCATAGTATTCAGGATGGTAACACACGGCCAGCAGGGGGTCAAACATTTCCTGAGTGCTTGTCGTTGCTGTTGCTGTTGTTGCTGCATGTGCTGTGGTTGCTGCTACTGATTCTGCTGCTGCTGCCGCGACTGCCGCTGCTGCTGCTGCTGCTGCTGCTTGGTGGTCCCGCGTGTGGTGTTGTTACGACTTTTGCTGCTGCTGCCGGTGTTGCTTTGGGTCTTGCTTTTGGCTGCCTGCTGATGATTCTGTTGCTGGTGCTGGTGCTGCTGATGTGGCATATCTTTGCTGCGTAATTGTTCAGGTTCCATGAAGGCCACAGGCTTTCTCATACACTTGCAAAGTTCCCGTACCGAATAAGCCGCAGCGGGTCGCTACTCCTGGACCATATTCAACCGTCCATGATGGGGACGTACACTTGCATCTCCAAAACCACCAGCCTGCAACTATCTGCAAGTGCCTATCTTGCCGTTGTCGAGCTTGGTGAGTTGGCAAGCTTTGCTGCAACTGGCCATAAGAGGCACCGGGTATGAAATGCACCATGCAATGCATTCAGGGTTTGATGAACAGACTCAGAACTTAACTAGAAGTATGCACAGTTTTCAGCACATGGGGGGGGGAGGGAGGGGGGGGGTGCCTTTGTGTGTGACGATTTCGTAGCAACCAGACGGATCTAAGTGCCATGAGAGGAGAGAAAGCTCTTCGCACTGAAACCGTATCAAGTATCATCCGGTGTGTTTGTTGAATCTGCTTTGAGCGGATTTTACTTTCATGGCCATTCAATCCTTGTCGCTTTCCACATGGCTCTTGAGAATGGCGTAGCAACTGTAATAGGTGTATTGATTTTATACATGTACATAATTATACTAAGACCGGGAGTTAACACAACCTATGAAAATACCCGCCATGGATTTTTTACCCGCTTGTCCGTATAAAAAGAAAGGAAAAGAGGGGGGGGGGGTTCAAATGACAACCGCTCTATTCAATTGCACATCACTCAGCACTGAAACGAAACCAAGCTATGTTGATAGTGTAGAATTATGGAAGGTTGGGGCCAGCTTGTATAATTATCTGGCAGATTTATCTTATTTCACTATAGGCAAGATCTGCCTTTCCCACTGGGTGCATTGGCACTGTATTTGCATCATGATGAAGACACTGGAAGAGGGAAAAAGAAACCCAACAAAGATGGCACATAACAGAAGCGAGAAATGAATGAGAGAGAGTACCACAAGTGATAAGGGGCCATCCGTAAATATAGATATTATCTATATTACTCAAGTCTGTGGACAGCAACTGTTTCGCTCTGTTAGAGCTCATCAGCACAGCTCAGAGAACCGAAGCGCAGCTCTTCGCAATGAAATACGTTTCCGTGAAGCAAAGCATTAAAAAAGAGCTGCAAACCCCGCCAAGAGTGCTCGAAATGCTCCAAGAGCAGTGAGCATTGCACAAGGCGAGCGGCAAGGGTTCGCGCTAAGGTAAGAGTGCTCGACCTAACAACATTGCTGACGCTAGGGAGCATAATACTCAAGTCTGTGGACAGCAACTGTTTATATTATGTATTTGGAAACGAAAACTAGTCGTTTAGGGGAGAGGGAGTTGAGCGCCTGTTTGCTTCTCGAAAAATATCGATGCAAAGTTTGCATGTGTGGGCACGTCAAGAAAAAAAAGATAAAAATATCGATACCATGCATCGTTTGCATGTGTTTGTTTCTGAGGGAGGGGGGTTGAAGAGAAACGACTGGTTTTCGTTTCTAAATAAATATCGGTATTTACAGATGACCCCCCCCCCCCCCCCCCCCACTAAGTGTGATTTTTGATGAAGGAGTTCGTGAAACGTACGCAACGGATCCAAAGGTTTGAAAGAAAATTGGCAGTTATGTGAATCTTTGAGACCTTGGGAAAAGCGAGAATAGGTTATAATATCATGGGTGCTGTAGTGCTGGGATTAGTGCTATCATAGTGGTCAGTGTTATGGTGTAGAGTATAGGCTACGGCATTAACGCCATCATACTATAGTGTAGAGTTTGGCACATTCCGTATTGTGTTATAGGCCGAGTGTCGCATCATGCAGAATCAGAATACAGATCTTCTGGAACCAAGCTGTTGCTCTGGCAAGCGTGGGCTATGGTACTACAGCTACTTCCTTTCTTTTACAAATGTAGAACGAATTGTGAGGGTTTGTTCGGTGCCGAATCAGAGCCGATTTTCACATGGTTGTGTGTGTGTGTGTGTGTGTGTGTGTGTGTGTGTGTGTGTGTGTGTGCATATACGCATGTTTGCTCGCTACTAACTCTTTAAACGCCAGTCAAGATTGAGGAATTTAACCAAACAACCAAGATTGCACCCTTCTCCAATCATACACTGGAATGCAAGGTAGGTGTGTGTGTGTGTGTGTGTGTGTGTGTGTGTGTGTGTGTGTGTGTGTGCACGTTTCACCATCAGTGTGTTCGGTCCATTGTGGGTATCGGTCGTCGTCAACAGTGGGATGATCGGATCTCAACGGCCACATTAGCAGCTACATTCGGTGTTGACCCTGATATCACCCGCATCATCCGTCGCCACCGGCTTCGTTGGCTGGGTCACGTCGGCAGGATGGATGACTCAAGCGCACCGAAGCAATTGCTGTTCGGCGAGCTGCCTGCCCCCCCCCCCCCCCCCCCCCCCGTCCTCGTCACGGCCCGAAGAAGAGGTAGCGAGATGTGGTGTCGACTGACCTGGCGGACCTCGGCGTGACCACCTGGCTTGAGAGTTGCCGGGACGGCTGGAGACGAGTTGCGAGTAGCACCCCACCGCCACGGCCCGCTCCTGATCCTCTTCTATGTGTCTGTGGATGCCCATTTCGTCGACCAGGAGACCTGAAACGACATGCCAAGTTCTGCGCTCGTGTTCTCACTTGAACTTTCCGACATTCGCTATCATTGCGTACGCAATGGGCAAGATCAAGGTCAAGGTCAAGGTGTGTGTGTGTGTGTGTATGTGTGTGTGTGTGTGTATGTGTGTGTGTGTGTGTGTGCGTGTGTGTTCAAAGCTTTTAAAACATACCAATACTTGTTGTATGGGTGGGCTTCTCCCTGAACGTCCAATAATACACTCAATATCAAAGCTTGACAGTGGGGGGGGGGGGGGGGACTTGTTTTCTGTAGTTCTAGTCATGTGTGTGTGACGAGTACAGCTCAACCCTTATTTGTGCTACGGCATCGGTTACACAACAAACCTCGTTAGTAGACAACAATCCTAAATTCCTAAATCCCCTGACGCCTCACACCCATACATACAAGTCCGGATAGTAGACCATCATCATTATCAGCCTTTTCGCGTTGACATCGCCGAGCAAGCTTGGCTAGTCTTCGCTTGGGCCGAATGGAATATAGAATGAGGAACGAGCGGGGTCAATGAAGTGCTAGTACGCATGCAAATGCAGACTAGGCAACAACGAAAAATATACTGGGGTGCTAATACGCACGCAAATTCAGGCAACAACGAGAAAGAATACATCAAAAACCGTCCTTAACACACCTGAACTGTCAACTATTTACTTCAACAACTAAAAGCCTAAAACTACCGAGTATGATACATGTACAGATGGTTGATAGTGCAGGTAGTAGATACAACCGGTACTCGTTATAATTGTAACATGGAAAAAAGTGGGCACACGTTTTGGATTCATGCCGTGGAATTTAGAAAGTACTCCTTGTCAGTTTTGTGCTAGATTGTATATGTCTGACTTTTCAAAATCTGGTTTAGTTGGTGGACTCGATCGCATACCTTGTGCCAACATCTTTCCCTACTCTGTCAGTTTTGTGCCTAGGGCATGTTCTCTTGCTGAAATTGAACCTGGTTCTGGTGTCGTGTACTTGTTGATGTGTTCGGTGCGTAGGCTACGGGCTATCCGGCGCCAGTCATAACATGGGAACGAGGACTGGCTCGTCCAATATACGACGACGGTATCCACTACAAATTGACCAATAACAGTCTGACATTTCTCAGGGCTATAGATGCTGACTCAGACATGTACTACTGTGTCGCCAATAACAACCACTCATCCGCACAGTCGGCCACGAATGTCATTATTGACGGTGAGACTAGGACATTTTGCTTCTTTTACATGTTCCAAAATGTTTTGATTGCAGGTATGGAGTGTTTCTGTACCCGATATGATCAGATCCACATGCATATGTGTGTAAGTGTACTTGTACCCTCGTGTTTAAAAGATTCTATGTGTGTGTGTTTGTGTGTGTGTGTATTATGTGTGTATATGGGTGTGTGTACGTGTCTATGTCTGAAGTGTGTGTGTATGTGTATGTGTGTGTGTGTATGTGGGTGTGGGTGTGGGTGTGTGTGTGTGTGTGTATGTGTGTGTGTGTGCATGTGTGTGCACGTATGTGTGTGTGTGCGTGTGTGTGTGTGTTTGTGTATGGCTACGTGTGTGTGTATGTGTGTGTGTGTGTGTGTTTGTATGCATGTGCGCCTGTGCTCATTTTCCAGAGACAATCACGGTAAAAGAATTTAATGAAACTATCGAGATTGCAGTTTCCACGAATTTTACGCTGGAATGCCAGGTAGGTACAATGTCATGGCATGTACTAGTGTGTGATTAGAAAGCTCATCATAATTATAAAAATAAAATAAAAATTGTAGGGAGCAACACACAATTCCCCAAGTATCGCCGAAATTGCACAAACCTCTTCATCATAAATAGGGCTGAAACGATCGTGGATTTTCACGTATCGATTACTCTTTAGCTTAACGATCGAGTAATCAATTATAATCGTTAGCAAATAGAGCAAATAGAGTCATAATTCTGTGCAAACATTACTCTGTTTCCACAAACTATGCCTTCATAATACCAACAAATCTGCATTAGTGAAAGGGTAGCTCCGCAACATGGCAGTTTTGAAGTCAATTTAACCTCAGAACATGAACCATACCCCTGGCAACTGCATACTCCCTGCGGAAACTGATTCAAACTTCACAAAACGAGGGTTAACAGTTCTTTCTGGACACAAATTAAAAAAACGCAAAATAATCGTATTCGGTAATCTAAACGATTGCTCGATCATTAGAGTTATCAAACGAGTACTCGATTATTCGGTATAATCGTTTCAGCCCTAATCATAAATAATTGTAGGTACCGTATTTTCCGAAGTAAACTGTGAGCACTGATAAAAGAATTTTCCACCCAGCGCATGCGCCAAGAGTGAATAGCAACTGAATAGAGCGGTTGTCAGTTGACAAACCCCCTTTTACTTAGAACGCAGTTGCGTGATGATGTCGACCACTTTCTGGGCAGACTGTAAGCTGCGCTTTAAGGCGGCTTTTGCTACGATGGTCAAACTAAGGCTGCGTTCGTTTTTAGCTACCTGGTAGAGTAGAGTAGAGTCACTCTACCCATACAGGTACTTAGTAGAGGGCAGAGGTAAGTGCACGAACGCTGTTCTACCGGATTTAGTAGTTTACACGATGTGTACGTGAAATGTTCCTTTTTTGGATGGAGTTGTGTACAAATCCTTGATCTTGCTGGAAATCCCATAGCTCTACCAACTTCTACTAGCTTCTACCTACTTTTCCTGGTAGAGCCAGTAGAGGAAAGTAGAATCTACCCTTTTGAGTAGAATATTTTTCAAAAAACGAACACCTCTACCGAAAGAAGTAGTTTCTACCCAAACCTGTAGATCAAAAACGAACGCCCCCAAGGGTGATAGACAGGGTAGAGGTCTGTATTTCGTAAGAAACATTTGGGTGCGACTAAAGCCTAGTTCACATTCGACGCAACGCTGACGGTACGGGACGTAAGAACCTTGTCGGGAAGGCTTGGGTGAGCTGTAAGATCTTGTACGATTCGTACGACACGACATGCTGCTGTCGTTGCGATGTTCAACGTTGAACGGCACGCCCGTCGAATGCGAGCTAGGCTTTATACTCCAGTGCGGCTCATACTCAGGAAAATACGGTAACTATTTAGAATGGCTGAGCTCCCCTCCTGATTACTTAGTTCGGTACCACCAGTACACACCTTCAAGTTTCCATTGATAGCTTGTTTATCATTGACCTTCTTGTCTGCTGATCCATTGGCTTCCTTTAGAGTGCTGATTTTCTTGCCCGGCATGTCATACAGTAAATCCTGGTGTAAGCGACCTCTGGGTTCAGTGACCACCTGCTTTTAACGACCATTTTTCCATGCACCGACAGTTCTACACGGACACTGTGGGACCTGGTTCTAAAGACCATCTGGCTTTAACGACCGCTTTTGCTTGCACCGTGGGGTGGTCGCTTACACCAAGTTTTACTATATTGCCAGGTTCTCTTTAGCTGAATGTTCAATGTGCTGTGCCACTTGTTACTGTGTTCCCCGTGCTCAGGCCACAGGTTATCCTCGGCCAACCGTGACTTGGTTTCGAGCCTCTGGTGATAACATTTCCGATGACGGAATCCAGTACGAGTTAGCCGCTAACCGCCTGACACTACTGAATGCCACATTTGCTGACTCCGACAAGTACTATTGCAGTGGTCATAATAATTACACGCATGCGGTTGCGTCCACATTCATCAGCGTCAAAGGTGAGTCCAGGTTGCTTTGACTTCGTTTTCATGGAAAGCGTCTGGATTGCAGATATAGACTGTATCTTCCAGAGTAGGCATTGTACGTTTCGCAGGAGTATAAGCCGCACCCAGATATTTGGTCACAAAATACAGACGTCACCCGATTTACCACCGTTAATTTAATCATCGTTGTATCAGGTGCACCGCCTGTTTTTGGGTGAATGACTGATGTTTAAAGTTCGCCTTTAATATACTCCGGAAAATACGGTAGGACCTAAAAGTGATGGTGTCAGAGGTCTAACTCGGAGTTGAGCCAACCTACACCCTATTTGCTGTGGGTAAGAGGCTGCACGAAGTGGGTAAGAGGCTGCACGAAGTGGGTAAGAGGCTGCACGAAGTGGGTAAGAGGCTGCACGAAGTGGGTAAGAGGCTGCACGAAGTGGGTAAGAGGCTGCACGAAGCATGCACACTCATCAATTACATGTAAAGCCATTGCTTTTGTAGTTACCGAAATTACTCTCTGGCGCCAGAGAGCGAAGTGCCAAAGAAAGAACATGCTCGAAATTTACCAGGTAAATGGAAAGGATACCTGTGCATGCATATTGGCTCAGCTATAATTATAGATCTCTACATGAAGAATGAGAACGGCCCAGGCTAAGTCCCTGCCCCCCCCCCCCCCCCGCCCCAACCCACTCCCACCTCCTCCGCACTTGGTACCAGACATTACACTATGGGCTGATTCGGTTTGGAACATGAGGGGTAGAAGTTGGAGCCTCCGTAACTTGGTGTACAGAAAATCTGGTTTAAGCGACCACCCGACGGTGAAAGGAAAAGCGGTCGTTAAAGCCAGGTGGTCTTTAGAACCAGGTCCCGCAGTGTCTGTGTAGAACTGTCCGTGCATGGGAAAACGGTCGTTAAGAGCAGGTGGTCGCTAAAACAAGAGGTCGCTTACACCAGGTTTACTGTATTTCGTTGTGCACCGTCCTCCTACGCATTGACGTATACTTCTACATCTACGGTATGCTGGTTTGTGTGTTTCCCTCCGTCTTTTTCTGCATCCCCTCTGGTTGTTATCAGGAAATTTGCAATTCTCTAGAACGCCTCCAGTGGAGAATGTTTCGCTTGATGAAAGTCAGGCAATTGTACTGACCTGTGGTGTGGACGACATGCCCCAAACTGTCATATTCTGGCGCTACCCACACACCGTCTACAATTCCAGCAGACGAGTGGTTGTCACGGAGATGGACAACGGTTAGTAGTTCTTCACCCAGCGGTGCAATGACATGCGTTACCCATTGTTGTTCTCACCATTGTCATTCTCCTCATTGTCTCTTCATGTTGTGTTTTCTAGCTATGGTCCATCATGGCCACGACATCCAATGCACAATGGCGTAGTTTGTATGGGTAACATGCTGCGCAGCTGCAGCTACCTGTGGATTGTTGCTGGCTGTGGGAAGCGGTGCTCAGCGCAGGCCCGATTGTATCGCAAGCAGATGAACAAAAAATGTACTTCTCATACATTCCATTTATGGCAACACCCTACATGTCTACACTCCTGAGACTAATAGCACAGAGGCAATATGCTTAGGCTCAGCGAAAGTGCTCAATACCTGATTCAGGCAGAGCGGCGTACACAAAGGCACACAATGAAGACCTTGGGCAAATTCCGTTGTGACTCAGAGATTTTTATTCCTGAACCAATCGTCAAACAACATCATTTTCTTTTTTTTTATTTGAATGAGCTGAAGCCATTTTGTGCCCGGTGGATTTTGTATTTTATTCCCGTGTCTCTACCCATGCTAGGTCGGACATCATCTCTGAGCATTCATCAAGCAGTCAGTGCAGACAGTGGTGTGTACATATGCATCGCCAAGAACAGCACTGGACAAATCGAGCACCGTGTCTCTGTTATCGTCAGCCGTAAGTTTACACCTGTTTCAGAGCCACCCTGGCACAGCTACCCTGGCACAGCCACCCTGGCACAGCTACCCTTGCACAGCTACCCTGGTATAGCTACCCTGGCACAGCCACTCTGGCATAGCTACCCTGGCATAGCTACCCTGGCACAGCCACTCTGGCACAGCTACCCTGGCACAGCTACCCTGGCATAGCTACCCTGGCATAGCCACCCTGGCACAGCTACCCAATCTGTAACTAGCTTCAGAACACTGCTATTCGAATTCCGGCTATTCCAACCGTGCGTATCATAACCCAAGCTACCAGCACCCAGGTTCTCCAAATCTTGATTTTCAGTATCTGAACTCTGTTGTTCAAAACCTTGCCTATTCAAACGCTAGGTGTCAACACAATGGGCACAACCCCAGGCTATCCAAAAATTCCAACCCCATTTTTTTCAAATTGCGGATAATTACTTCGAAGTATTATCATAACCCAGGTTAGCTGTACTCTGCTTAGCAGTACTCGAATCCAAGTTTCCAAACTCAGGCTATCTGAGCAAGTGGCACACAGAACAGATCATCTGATATTAGACTGATAATGAAAGCTGGTGCATTTTCGTCCGTCAAACTATAGTCAATTACCATCCAATCTTTTGAAGCTCGAATATTTCTTCTTGCTTTGATAATAAGGACAAAATGATAATACACTTCTTTGATAATAGGTTTGGATTTAGGTTAGGTTTGGATTATACTATGAGCACAGGGGTTATGCCGCGGAATATTCTCACGAGCGCGTCAGCATGAGGGAAAATATGAGGGACACAGTATGCACAAAGTATGAATGGTAGAATCCATTTATCCCATGCACTGCCCCAAATATAGAGCGTAAGCTAGACCTTATTCACTCTTGGAGTTACCCATGTGAACCGAACAGGGAGTAATTTTTAATCTTTGAGGGATAAATTTGAAGCAAGTCATTTTTTTTAACCCAGCGGGGTATATCGCTCTATACCCCACTGAGAATGGCGGCTGATTAGCTGAAGTTGCCTAAATTGTACCGTATCATCGGATAGAGATCCGATGTACTGTAAAATCCATACATATAACGAAGTGCTAACCCTAACGAGTTAATGAGGAGAAATCTGTCGTTGAAATAGAAATCGTTATCCAGAAATCGATACATATACTGTCCTATTGAGCGTTGAGAATGAGTGAAAATCGTTACCTTTGCCACACGTAAACCAGTCAATGTTGGGAAATCGTTATAATGCGCCTCGTTAGAATAATGGCTTTTACAGTAATTATAATTATAATGCTTAGGCAGAGTTGTGAGCGCTGTGGGTTTTCCAGATTAGTTGTTTCTTATTTTGTCAAAGTCATTTGGTGTTATAATATTATTACTCTGTTCTGGTGTACTACCATGCCAATGCTTGAAATGCATGGACGGACTGATCTGAGTCGAGCTGCCCGCGGATGTTGATTTTGGGGCGAAGCTTCTTGAGGTCTTTGAGAGAAAGAGCGTTTGGGTCAAGCTTATCCGACTTCCACTTTGTTTTACCTGTATTGTCGTTTTACCTGTGAATGCCTTGTTACCATAACTGTTTTGCTGGAACTAGTGTGTGTCACCTCGGCAGGGAGACAGTAACAGAGTACTCGGCCTGACAGGTTGGTGAGCTGGGCTTTGACTAGGGTCAGTGGTATTCATGTTGATCTCGTCCTGTTTCTATGCATCTTCTTTGCCCTGCAGCAACTACGGTGAAGGTCGGCCAGAACGTATCAATAGCTTGCTCTGTGAACTCCACGTTGCCTGGCCAGAGAGCAGTGTGGAGTGTTGTCAGAGGTTTGGCTGCTGACTCTAACATCACTCTCAATAAGCGTTACACACGGCATGGATCGCACTTGACGATCAGTCGTCTTGAATTGTCTGACAGCGGACGGTTCCTGTGTCGGCTAGTTGATGGCAATGATACAGAGTTGTCTATGCGGGAAGTCACCCTTCTAGTCCTGGGTAAGTAGGAACAGTTGTTGTTGTTGTGTTTATTTGAATTCACAAACCAAACTGACTGAACATGTCCAATAATAGGGAAGCGAATGAGGTCCAAGTAACTCAGGCATGGGAAAACGTGGAAACGAGACACAGATGAAAAGAGAATAAGGGAAAAGAAACCTCAGTTCGCTTCTTGAAACACACCATGCAGCGCCAGGAATTGCTAGGCCTTTCGGTTTTTCGTTTACTTCAATAACACTGCCCCCCACCCCAAGGGAAAGCAAGGCC